TAACAAAGTGTATAATAATAAATTAAAATGATGCATACAACTTTATCCAATACATCCACTTAATTTGTACATTCTTGTTTTTGTGTTAATTCCTGTAAAACCAAACAAGTTATTGATACATCTTTATATCTTAGTAATTATTATCTTAAATCAGTTTGATTTAGAATGGCTTAACCCTTAAACTGCGCAACGCGCCTGCAGGCTCGCGTCTGGTTTGCGCAACGCGCCTCCGGGTATTTGTATTTTTCACGTTCCATTCAAAACTCCCGCGGCCACATGGGGTTCACATCAGCTTCCTCAGGGCTCTTGTAAACAGACGCCATCTTTAAAAAAAATCGTGGTCCACATTCCCGGGTGTGGGAGCCTCAGTAGTGAGTGAGCAACCAAGGCTGGCGCTCGCAGCATGAGCGCACAGCACTGCTGTTCAGCATGTGACCACAGCATCGCCTAATAATGTCAAAATATATATATAACTTGTATTATTTAGCTATGATAGTGTTATATTAGAGCCTGAGTGTGATAATGACTGGGTACAATGTTCAAATATCAGTGATTCAATGCTGTTCACGATGTTCACAGCGCTAGCCACAGCACCACAGCATTATTTCGTTCATCTAGGAATCTTCAAATGATTTCTTAGGTTCCTTTTCAAAATGTGTGGTCAATTATTCATTTACAGGAATTAGTGACCAGGATTGTGATAATAGCAGGAATGTGGTTATAATTAGTGTTGTGCGTAGTATTGTGGAAGGAGGAATTTTGATGAGGGAGGGAGGGCGAGAATTGAGGTAGCCTCATTGTGTGTGTGGCTGCCACTCATGTTTTGCTCACCATACTAGCTTAGTGGTTCGTTATGGGCAACACATATGTACATGGGTATATATAGTGTGTGTATATAGTGTAAGAACAGCAACAGGAGAATGTTGAGAGGAGCTATTTTGGTGAGGGAGGTGACGTAATCGTAGCGTCGTCTGTGTGATTTTTCATGCAGTGTATGGTGGCCACTGTACTGTTTGGACACAATACCGGCTTACTTGCATAGTTCTGGTAAATAAAACATGTAGATAGGTATATAGAACATGTGTAATAAGAACTATAACAATATGGTGGGAGGAGCAATGTTGGCGAGTAAGATGTTGGAGTGAGGGAGACTACCTGGGTGTGGCTGCTCTCACTCGAGGTGTTCTGAATGTGTTCATGGCCAAATGCTAATATTGGCCCATACGAAGCAGCTCCTATTGGCCCATACGAGGCAGCTCCTATTGGCCCATACGAGGCAGCTGCTATTGGCCCATACGCGGCACCTGCTATTGGCCCATACGAGGCAGCTGCTATTGGCCCATACGAGGCAGCTGCTATTGGCCCATAAAAGGCAGCTGCTATTGGCCCATATGGGGCAGCTGCTATTGGCCCATACGAGGCAGCTGCTATTGGCCCATACGAGGCAGCTGCTATTGGCCCATACGAGGCAGCTGCTGTTGTCCCATACGAGGCAGCTGCTGTTGTCCCATACAAGGCAGCTGCTGTTGTCCCATACGAGGCAGCTGCAATTGGCCCATACAGGGCAGCTGCTATTGGCCCATACGGGGCAGCTGCTATTGGCCCATACGGGGCAGCTGCTATTGGCCCATATGGGGCAGCTGCTATTGGCCCATACGAGGCAGCTGCTATTGGCCCATACGAGGCAGCTGCTGTTGGCCCATACAAGGCAGCTGCTGTTGTCCCATACGAGGCAGCTGCTGTTGTCCCATACGAGGCAGCTGCTATTGGCCCATACGAGGCAGCTGCTATTGGCCCATACAAGGCAGCTGCTATTGGCCCATACGGGGCAGCTGCTATTGGCCCATACGGGGCAGCTGCTATTGGCCCATACAGGGCAGCTGCTATTGGCCCATACGGGGCAGCTGCTATTGGCCCATACGGGGCAGCTGCTATTGGCCCATACGGGGCAGCTGCTATTGGCCCATACTGGGCAGCTGCTATTGGCCCATACAGGGCAGCTGCTATTGGCCCATATGGGGCAGCTGCTATTGGCCCATACGGGGCAGCTGCTATTGGCCCATATGGGGCAGCTGCTATTGGCCCATACGAGGCAGCTGCTATTGGCCCATATGGGACAGATGCTATTGGCCCATACGAGGCAGCTGCTATTGGCCCATACGGGACAGCTGCTATTGGCCCATACGAGGCAGCTGCTACGCGGTGTTCTGAATGTGTTGATGATGAATGTATATAGTGTGTGACAGTGTATAGTATGTAAATAGATTGTATATATACACAAATTAGCATGATACATAGTAAATATGTGCTGCATATGTGTACACAAGTTTCATGCACGTAACACAGTGTCTACGGACAGTACGGATGTTGTACTGCGATATTATAGTGTACGTGTTCATTATACATTGGATTGGCACATAAAAACAATGAAAATGTATTTGGAAAGGTGCGCAAAAAATGAACGAAAATATATTCGCGGCAACTCGCGCGCCCCGCCCCGAGTGCCCCACCGCCCCCGAGAGCTTACGGCACGGGCGCACGGGGAATGATGACGTCACGCCCCAACTTCCAGATCCCATAGCAGCCAAAGTAAGTACAATTTCAACTTTTTTTTTACATACCCATACTGAGGGAAGTGTTTTTGACACTTTAAAAAGAAAAAAGAATTTTTTCCAGAGAATTTATTTCCTGCGCACTGCGGGGGTGTCACATTTGGAGGCAACGCAGTTAAGGGGTTAAATTAAGGGGCCAGGAATCAAAATATATTCATCCAAAATTGAAAAATATTGATAAATGTTAAACAACTTTCATGGCATATGGCAACAGAGTCATAAAACGTTCATCCCAAATATTAAAAAATAGATTTTTCATGATTTTTGTTTACCAATAAATACGTGTGCAGCTCAACCCATATAGGTGCCAGTGAGTGCAACGTATCATCCCGGTCTCACTTGATTGCTTTCTAACAATTGGATTTTATGCAAAAGAATTTGAAAAATATATGTATTAAAGAGTACTTTTGCTTGGTAGCAACTCTTCATAGTCAGCCGCCACCTCAACTCAGCTCACTAGTTCAGTGACAGTCTTTCACACGAGAGAGGGAGTGTGTCGTGTCTCGTACCCCACAGTTTATTCACCGCTTCATCGTTTATATTCACGATGCCTTTCCTGTCGAAGAAAGCTAAATACCAGAAGGAAAGTATGTTGCATGTCATACGAATATGAGAAAGGAGGAGGCTAGCGAGTGTACAGTGGGAGAAGGAGGGTAGCGAGTATATAGTGGAATGCGGCGGCCCACTTCCCACGCTTGCCTCATGCCACACACACCCTTACACACCGCCTCATGCTCTACACTGCTCTCCAGTGCCTCACAATGCCAACTATTATCACCTATCTATAGGCAATAAAATTACTGAAAGATATTTGAATTTTTACCTAATACACACACACACATTACTGCAATTTATGTTCACTTATAGTGCCATATATCAGAACACAGGTTAATATGCAATACAAGAGCTAATAAAGATAATGGATATCAAATCTTACCTGTGAAATGTTGTAAATATATAAATAACAGATTATATGTATTTAGTAAATAAGAGTAAATAATAAGTATTTAGTAAATGTGATTTTTTTTTATTATGAATTTTTCTTGATTCCATTTCACAAGATATTGACCTACAACTTTCACATTTTGGAGTACGAATGCCCAGCTATGTTTATTAAAATTTACAAGAAAATCCATAGAGTAAAAGATTATATTTCATTGTCAAGAACTTCAATTTCAGTTTTCTCTATGAACAAAATTGTCAACTTTGAGACAGCTTTAAAAAATCAGTTTCTGATCAATTTTCACATATATGCAAAGTTTTGTGTTCTAAAATAAAACCCTTTTCATTTTCTCATGAATGCAAAACTTTTGGAGTTATAAATTTTTGCGTCTAAATTTTGCACATATTTGGAAGGCCATATTAAAAAAAAATTACAGTAAACTATACTCTCAAACTGTATTCTAAAAGGATAGAAATGAAGTTCATATGTGATTCTGAAACCATAATGAAAAAAATTGAAAAATTGGTGACATTTTACAATTTTAAAGTTCATTTGAAAATATGATACAGTATTAGAAATTTATTAAAATTATTTATTTTTACTTATTTTTATGCTCATGTTACGATGTTGATCCATTAGGGAAAGTTAGAGCATTTACCATGTAGATTATGGAAAGAAAAAAAAAAGAAAAAAAATATTGTGAGTTTGAGGAAAAAGATTTCCAGGCACTTAACCAGTATTCTGAAATTTCCAAAATTATTTTGCCATTCAAAAACCCTTAGTAATATATATTCTTTTGCTGAATAAATTGTATTGTATTGTATCCCCTGTACTGTACATTACTTTCATAATACTTATTTGTTTGTAACCTAACATTTTAATTACTTTGTGTAACTGAAATTTTAATGCAATACAGCAATCTTTACTATTTTAATGACTATGTACAGCAATACTTTTTCCTAAATAATCAAATACTGAACTAGTGTCATCACTGTCTGCTACACTGCTATTAGTAATATTATATAATTTAAATGTTTTGATTCATATTTGAGCAGTACAGCATTTGTTAGCTTTAGTCTAGCCCTGAATGAGCTGGATATGCAGGCTTCACAATTTGTGTGTACTACTGTAAAGGATTTTTTTTTTTTTTTAATTTTCACTACCTTTTTTAGTGCTATTCAACAGTCTTTTATGTTGGCAGATCAAGATTATCAGGAAACAGTAAATATCTAAAGCCAAACCTTGTTTTTTATCATTACTCGGTTAAAGAAAAATTTGGAGTAATTTATTCCATTTTACTACCAATTTAAAGACGTGTTATGATCTAGTATATATACACTATATCTAGCTATTACAGGACACATGTTTCTGTTAAGTAAGTCTCTAAAGAGCTTGGTATGTTCAACTTTGTCAAATGCTTTGTAATAATGAAGAGTTTCTGTTACCAAGGAACTGCACTCCTTTGTCCTGTATCCAATCTTGAATGCAAACTGAAAATCAGAGATTCTTAGTGCACCAGCAGGAAAATCAATGGGTATGTAATCGAATACCTGCACTAAATGCTCTCGTCATTCAAACAGAAGTTTGAGATGTAAAGCATGCAACAATAATATCACAAAGTTCTGGTCAAACTGAAATGGCAGAGGGAAAAGTTGATATGCTTATCTCTCTCTCCATCTCTGTTGGACTCAACATACCAGATCCTTGGGAAAAAATGGTTACTAAACGCTTGATTTTCTCTAAAGTGCCAGGCATTATTTTGCCGACGACCAGCTGGCTACCATGTACTGGTCGTGTGCCCTCCCAGATGGAGTACTACACGCATGCCTGTGGGCTGGGTGTGGTTGCATCACAAAGTTGGCTTGATGCTGTCTAAAACAAAGCAATTAGAACAATTAAAAATAAAGTGATTGCAGATAACATAATCCCTTCACATAGGCAAAGACTTCTAACTGTCCCTTTTCTAGATAATTTTACTGGCATATGTTGCTATAAGCACATAATATACTACCACTTCACTCCTCCACACCTTTCTGAGAACTATCAGCACTTCTAGGAGTGTAAATGATAGTTTAAGCTATAGACATAACCAGCATTTTAGGTGGCATTGCCAAGGTACTGCAAATGTCACTGCCCCATTAAACTCATCACTTTATGGGCACAGATGCACAGACAGATTGAAGCATGTTCCTAAAGTTTTGGAAACAGAACAGAAGTGCACCTTTGTCAAATCTTAACCACACATTGTGAATGAGAGGTGAAAGCAAGAGGCTAACCACAAGAAACAGTCTCAAGTGATAGCATCAATGGTCAATCACCTACTTGTGTTGAAGTGAACTGCCTTCATTACCAAGTAAGTGATACTGCCTAATAAAATGATCACTCAGGGTTACATTTAGAGTAGTGAGCCAATGAAAAATTCAATTGTATATCTCACATGGTTATCTTGTCATATGTCACTGGCAAGTATAGAACTCAAGATATACTCTGTTAGTTATGGCTGCCCCAACACATGAGCTGTAGTAGGAACAAACTAGATAAAGAGGAAATTACAGACATGGCAAATGCAGCATTAAGAGCCAACAGTTAAACCAATCATCTTTCCTGCAAAAATACAGCCCAACTTTGCCACACTTTGCGAGTGGTAAAACAACCAGACCTGGACACACTAGTCCATTTATGATTCTCGCTGTCTTGGTGTTTATCTGACCCTTACAGTATGTCTTTTCCACCCATATTTTACACTGAATACTCTAGACTAACATTTTTCAAGCTTTCTACCCTTGAAATAATTTTTGATCGCACTTTATCTAAACACACAGATTTCGTTGTCAACTGAAAAGAGATGATATTTGTCTATGCACTTCATGCTAGTTAAATGAGAAAAAGTGAACAATGACTCAAAAATACATTTGTATATGATTAGAATTAGCCTGTTTATCACTATCAGAACCCCTAGTTATCTTGGTATTCTGCAGAATCTCGGTTGAGAAATGCTGCCCTAGACTGTCAAAGCAAATACTTAACACAAAGGCTAACCGTCTTCCTTCCAATGGCACTATTTTTCTTTCCTTAGTCTAAGGATAAGTTACCAAATAAATTAATAAGACATAAAATGAATATAGCGAGGCATACATTGTGACAGTCACTAATGATAAAGCCAAAACATTATAACAGCATTATATGCAAAGTTCATACTAAAAATGTAAAATTAAATCATGTTCTGATTTAGCCAAAAGTAAGAAAATTATGCTGCACAGTTATGATTCATAGCTTTTTATCTCTTGAATATATTTTCCTTAAGGCACATTTTAAATTCAATTGTTACTCCCAATATGCAGTGGTTACTGCATATGGGGAGTTCATAGTTTTATGTTGATAACTACCATTTGTAAATGAAAGGATACATTTTTATCAATTTCTTTCCATAGAGTCTGTTCAGAAATGGATAGCGTCAACGGCAGAAACTGCAGAAACGCATGTCGTCACAAGCAGCAACTGCATAGCATTTATCTCGTATTCAATGGAATGGCTACTGTGAGGTGGTTTTGCTTTCACAAATGACAGTACAACAATTTGATGATACATAAAATCCTATTATTTGACTCTTATTGTAATTACCTAAGTGTAGTTACAGGATGAGAGCTACGCTCGTGATGTTCTGTCTTCCCAGCACTCTGTTATATAATGCTGTGAAATTAGAGACGGTTTTGGCCTCCACCACCACCTCGCCTAACTTGTTCCAACCTGAATTTTCAGGTTGTTCCAACTTAAATTTTCTTATATTCCTTTGGCAGCTATGTTTATTTAATTTCAATCTATGACCTCATGTTCTTCAAGTTCCAGGTCTCAGGAATTCTTCCATATCAATTTTATCGATTCCCGTTACTCCAGTTATTTTGTACGTAGTGATTATATCGCCTCTTTTAAACTATCTTCTTGTTTTGGCATTTTTAATCCCTCTAACCTCTCCTCGTAGCTCTTGTCCTTCAGTTCTGGGAGCCATTTAGTTGCATGTCTTTGCACCTTTACTAGTTTGTTGATGTGCATCTTCACACTATCTCTCTCTTTGGACATCCCCTCGTGTCCACTTTTTTTCTCTCGTGTCCTAGCTTTGGACACTGCTCGCATCCAATACAAAAAATATTTGTATAAAATTAATTTTCTATCCGATCGACTTTGGGATAGTTTCAAAATGAGCGCCTTTAGAGTACGCACAATTTGATATCAACATGAAAGATGTAACACAAAACTTAATGTCAGAACACTTGAAAAATTATAAATACATTTTTGGTCAAAATTTTAAAATATTTGTTAAAATTCTATTTATTGTGCTATTATGGGATGAGTTTTAAAATGCACGCCTTTACATTGCAAACAATTTGATACTAAAATTAAAAATGTAACAAAATTTTATGTCAAAACACTTGAAAGATATAAATAATTTTGTGATGACGAGTCTAAAATTAATATATTTGTTAAAATTCCAGTTATTGCTCTATTATTATGGGACTAGTTTTAAAATACGCCCCTTTATATTGCAAACGATTTCATACCAAAACGAGCGACATAACACGAAAATTGATGTTATCAAACTGAACGAGTATACACATTAGGTATACGGGTGTGATAATTGGTTCTCGTTCATGAGTAACTTTAGGCTTTGCTAAGGGAGTCACGCTGGGCTTTTGGACAATATATGCATATACACATGCAGGGTATTAAATTGCGAACACATTGATACCAAAACGAACGACGTAGCACGAGAATTAAGGTGAGAAAACTGAAACAAGTATACACATTTTACTGATTTTGTGCGCTCATGGGTAACTTTTCCCGACTTTAGGCTTTGCTCTCGGGAGTCAAGCTTGGCTTTTGGACCTTATTTGCATATACACTTGTGGGGAATTCTATTGTGAACACAATGATACCAAAACGAGCAACGTAGCACGAGAATTAAGGCAAGAAAACTGAAACGAGCATACACATTTAGTGTCGCCGAGCGCTCACCCGCACCGCCAGGCCTACTTCGTGCATACGCGCGGAGCACACGCCCGGGGCGAAATACTGTTAAGATAGGGGCACCATAACATTACTGCATGTTCCAGCTTTGGTCTAACAAAAGTCGTGAACAATTTCTTTAGTATCTCGCCATCCATGTATTTAAAAGCAATTCTGAAGTCAAAAAGTGTAGCACAGGCTCCTCACACGATGTTCTTTATGTGGTCCTCAGGTGATAGTTTTCTATCTAGAACCTCCCCTAGATCTTTTTCTTTATCAGAATTATTTAAAGATTTCTCACAATTATTTATAGGTTGGGCGATGTCTATGTTCTCCTATTCCACATTCTGTAACACGGCATTTATTCACATTAATCTCCATTTGCCTCCATACACTTATTTTGTTCAGGTCTTCTTGAAGGGCATGACAATCATCTAAGTTTCTTATCTTCCCTATTATCTTAGCATCATCAGCAAACATGTTCATATAATTCTGTATTCCATCTGGTAGATTGTTTATGTAGACAATGAACATTATCGGTGCAAGAACTGAACCTTGTGGTACTCCACTCATGACAATTCTCCAGTCCGATACATTGCCTCTGATTACTGCACTCATATTTCTATCTGTTAAATTTTTTCATCCATGTTAGAAGCCTACCTGTCACTCCTCCAATGTTCCAGTTTCCAGAACAACCTCATATGTGGAACTCCGTCGAAAGCCTTTTATTAGGTCCAGATAGATGCAGTCTACCCAACCATCTCTGTCTTGTAAAATCTTTGTGGCTCGATCATAGAAACCAAGTAAATTCATTACACAGGATCTTCCAGGTCAAAAACCATACTGTCTGTCTCATATTATATCGTTTTTCTCCAGGTGTTTTACCCATTTAGTTTTAATCATTTTTTCTATTATTTTCACTATTACACTTGTCAATGATATAGGTCTATAATTTTGTGGGTCTTCCCTGCTGCCACTTTTGCAGATTAGAACTATGTTAGTCTAAAAAATATTTTTATTAACACTTTCGCTCACCCCGCGCGCCACCCCTCGACAGGGCGATATGGGCCCCAGCGTGTCACGGAAGCGCGCGTTAATTCCGAAAAGTGTATACTCTCTTCAACTTTGTCACCTCAATTCTCCTTCTACGAGATTAAATTTGGTATCATTGTGTTCGCAATAAAATTCTCTACAGCACTAAATGCATATAAACTCCAAAAGCCCGGCTAATTACCCGCAGCAAACAGAGAAAGTGCGAACGAGTTACCCGGGAGCGCGCAAACGGGATAAAATGTTTTCACTATTTTCACTCTGGTCACCTCAATTTTTGTCCTAGGTCTTTCATTTTGGTCTCAATGGGTTCGTAATAAAATTCTCTAGAGGAACATTAGCATATAAAAAAAAAAACCTGGTCACGCTCCAACCGCCGACGAGTTGAAGACGGGCCACGCGTTAGCCGTGAGTGAGCGCTCAGAGGCCTTCCTGCTACACTCCCAATTCCCTTCCTTTTCAAGCCTTTCTTTCGCAATTTTCTTCCTGGAAGGGCCTTGTTCATGATTACTATCCATCGTGGAGTAAGCGTAGATAGTTTCTAAAGCCGCAGTAAGAAATATAGCCACGGAAAATAGCCGAAATGTTCACACGTTTGAGATGCGAGGGGAGGCGACATTGGTCACAACAGTGGAGCAAAGACAATGGGCCCACAGCGTGTGCCAAGCCGCCTGAGGGCCACGAGGCTCAACAAAGAAAATGGGAAGACATCGGCGCACATTTTAAAACCAGTCCCAAAAAAATCGGATAAAAACCTGATTTTTGGCAAATTTTTAAAGTGGATGACGCAATGCTGCGTCATCCCCGGCATTACCGCCAGTAAACGGATGACGCAATGCTGCGTCATCCCCGAGCGAAAGTGTTAATGTGACTAATAATATGAATTATGAAGCTTGGGATTTTGTGTACTGCAGTCCAAAGTTCAACTCCAGCCAATGGTATGGTAGATAGGTTTTCTCACTCTGATTATATGAACATATATATATTGAAATCTGGATACAACTAACTGGGATTGAACCTAATCTGAACTATCAATGTTTCTGTATCATTAAGGTTTGAAAAAAAAATGGTTTTAAAAGATTTTTCTGTAAATGATGAAACACAAATAACATATATCAGTACCTGTAATGGTTTTTAAATATACAGATACTAAAAACATAGTAGCTGGACCAAGTCTGTTTAGTTTATTGGGGCATGTATTAGGTTCAACCACTTGCAATCAGTGGTAGAGTGACGGCTTTGCTTCTTGCAGGTCGACATTCAATCCCTGACTGTCCAAGTAGTAGAGCACCATTCCATTCGTCCATCCTATCCTCCATCCTATCCTAAATCACTATACTCATCTTCCTTCCAATTGCTATATAGTCATAATAGCTTAGTGTTTTCTCCTGACAATTACGTATTAAGACCCCATGACCCAGATAAGCAAGGGTTCAGCTAGTAAATTCTTTCCAGCCCATCCCCTTCCATTAAGGTTACAGTTGAAAATTAATATGAATAGTGTACAACACACTACAGTATTCACATTCCCTAAACTGTGTGTTGTACTGCTAAAATCTTTTCAGCAAGTGATCAGTCCACTACACTGAAGTGTGATACAGAATACCAATTATAAAATACAGCAGATACACTTACAGTAAGTATATGGGTATGTGAGAAACCAGTAGCAAGTACAGTGGAACCTTGGTTTTCGTATGACCCTGTTTTCGTATTTTTCGGTACTCAAGCTTAATTTCTTCTAAAAATTTGATTTGGTACTCGTTGTTTGCTTCAGTGTTCGGAGTTTGTTTATACACGTGTGGGTCCATCACAGAGAGGCACGCCTCAGTTTACCAGTGTCCTGCTAAGGTGACTACGGTGCTTGAATTCTTCGTGAAGAATTTAATTGTTTTTTGTGCATTTTTTTTTTTTTTTTTGGGGGGGGGAGGGGGTTTCTGAACATAAAAGTTCTTATTATATATCGTGCCATGGGTTCCAAGAAACTCAGTGGTAACGTTCAACCTAAGAAAATAGTTGCGAGGATGACGATAAGAGGAAAAACTATAAATTATTCATAGTGTGAATGTAATGTCTCACTACAGATAAGTGTTAAAATGTAGGGAAAAACAAGTGTCTATAGACAGATTCTTAGTAAGACAAGCAAGCAGTGAGCCACAAACAGGTCCTGGTGGCATGTCTGCAAAACATAAGAGAGAGCGTACCGCAGAAATGTCATCACTGCTGTTATAATGGAAGGGGACTCCCCTTCCAAACACTAACACCTCTCCTCCTCCCCCCCTCCTCACCGTCTTCCATATGCCAACAAAAGTCCTCCATAAAGATAAGGTAAGGTAAGGTATCTATGAGTAGTTTTCTGTATAAAATGTATTTTTTTAGTTAATATTTTTGGGGGTGTGGAACAGATTAATTCAATTTGCATTATTTCTTACGGGAAAATTCGTTTCGGTTTTCGTATTTTTGGTTTTTCGAGCTGTCTCTGGGAATGGATTAAATTAGAAAACGGAGGTACCACTGTAACTGCCTCAACTATGGTTTCAGAAACAAAACTACAGTATCTACAGTATTAAAGACCAGAAGAAGCATTTGGCTTAGTCAAAATTCCTAGACTTTTATAATAAAATATAGCAGACCTGGCAACCGACTTGGCCCTATTTTTTCTGATACTCATGTTAAAAGTGTACACTGCAAAACTATGAAGAAACTCTGCTGTGGGTGAATTGCTGGAGTGGTGCTTGTGTGCTGATGGTAAGTGTGGAGAGCAGTGTGAAAATTATATCTTTAAATACACTGTATTAAAGTCATTAACCTGCTCTTCCAACATCATTTCTCACTTCTCTCCAGGTGAGTCTCTCCCTGCTCATTTAGGATGAGGAACATGCCAGCAATGAGAATGATAACATTATAAAAGATTTATGATAATTGTACTGATTTTAAGTTACAAGAAACCTATCAACATTTAACAAAAATATACAACAAAGTTATATGTCTAATGTCTTAAAAATTTAAAAAGTATCCATTTTTAAAAGTTGAAAGAAAAAATTAGTAAACTTACCTGACGATCAAACAGAGGGGGGTTATCATTGATATCTGTGATTTCAACCGTAAAGGAACAAACACCTTCTAATGATGGATCTCCATTGTCTGTGGCCTTCACAGTAACCGAGACGAACTTTCCATCTTCACCTTCACGATCAAACACTTTATTAGTAGTTACATCACCTGTCTCAGGATCAACTGTGAATTTCGTGCCTTTCTGGTTTGGCTGCTGGACAATACTATAGCGGACCTACAGAAAAAGTGAATGCAGTGAATTGTTACAAAATTTGCTTATGTGAACTAAATCAAGAATACAGAACTATTAATAATAAAAATATATTCATTAAGTAAATATTCTTAAGCCCAATTATCAATTATAATATATCAAATCAATACCAAAAAGATCTATGTTAGTGGTCATTCTTTGTTTAGGCCTAAACAAAATTTATAATAAATTAAAATATTAAGACAACCAAGCATTTATTTAGTAATCATACCTGTCCATTGACACCTTTATCCTCATCTGTTGCATGCACTGTGATGACCGGTGAACCATTAGGAGCCGACTCTTCCACTTTAGCATGGTAGGAAGCACAGTCCTTGAAAACCGGCTTGTTATCATTGACATCGGTAATAAAGACGACAACAACAGCTGTGGATGTGTGACGAGAATGCTGGCCACCAGGACAACAATTACCATCATCAACAGCAGTAACATTCAGCTCATACTTGTCACGGTCAAGGGAGATGGGTCCATTGTGCAACCGAATGACACCCGTCATCTTTTCAATTACAAACTGGCCAGATTTGCGGGCCCCTCCGACAAAACCAAACTCTACGTTATCGCCATCTTTATCCGATGCCACAACAGTTGTTACTAGGGTATTTGGTCCAGCATTTTCATCAACATTTGGAGTATAGACTTGTTGTGAAAAGTTGGGCTCTTCGTCATTCTTGTTTTTGGTATATATACGAATTGTGGCAGTACCTTCCTTTGCTGGCTCACCTGAGGAAACAACAAATTTTATGAATGATCTTCTAACTGTACATAATAGTTTGCCAACTGTTCATTCCTCTGAATAGTTCAAGTTTCACTACAAAAACTGCATCCCCCCCATAACTATTAGCAATTAAAATACATTATCCATTTGAAAATCAATGAACAGTAGGCCTAATGCCAAAATATGCAGGATAAATTATACTTTATGATATCTGTAAATTCAAAATCACTATACTATTTAATACAAATTAAGCTTCCAACCTCTGTCAGTAGCTGTAACCGTGAACTCATAATAAGCATTGTTGTCATCAGCATCAAGAGTTTTTCTGTTGTATATTATTCCTTTGTTGTCTACCCGAAAGTGATCATCAGAAACTGAATACGTAATTTCTGCATTTGTCCCAGAGTCATCATCACGTGCTTTCACCTGAGGATTAAGAAAAACATTAATTACATTAGAGCATAACAATTAAAACTTGAATAAAATATTTTATTGCAATAAACTATCAAAAACTACATGTTGCTCATTAAGAAGAAATTTGCAGTTTTCACTCAAATGCCCTACGTCTATGCAATACATAATACAATACAAAAGGGCAAATGTTTACAACAATATAGAGTACCACTGCCAATCCTTCACCATTTGAGCTGCATTTATTTGGAATATGATTAAAAAATACATTTAATCCTTGCATTGCACACAACATCCTGTGATGTGTTTAGGTCCCTCACAACACTGGAAACTACCACTAAAACATGGTTCCAGTAAACAGACACAATCTTGGATACAGGCCAGTAGTTTGAATAGAGCAATCATAGGTGACAAATATCACTAAAAATCCCAACCCTGGTGACTAAGTTAATAAAAAAAATGGACGGATATTAGCTCATAAATAACTTAGAAGATTTCGAGATTGATAAAGAGTATGTATTGTATTTTGCTCCGAAGACAATGGTACAGGCAGCAATTTGCTTCATTAACATCTCGCCCTACAGAACACCATGCTGATACACTAACTTGTGTGTCTATCACCTGTTGAACCTCATGGTAAGGTGAGTGCAAGTTCTGCAAAAACACAGATGTGGGAAAAGCAATAGGGGGCAGGTGCAACTCATGCTGTGTGTGCGGCAGAACTATGCATGACAGCTTCTTCAGAGATTTATCACACCCTCTAGAACGTCTGAGTGATTTATAACAGTGCAGAAACATGTAGTAATGTAGTGTAGTTCAGAAACATGTAGTAGTGTAGTGTAGTGCAGAAACGTGTAGTAATGTAGTGTAGTACAGAAACATGTAGTAGTGTAGTGTAGTGCAGAAACATGTAGTAATGTAGTGTAGTGCAGAAACGTGTAGTAGTGTAGTGTAGTGCAGAAACGTGTAGTAATGTAGTGTAGTGCAGAAACGTGTAGTAATGTAGTGTAGTGCAGAAACGTGTAGTAATGTAGTGCAGAAACGTGTAGTAATGTAGTGTAGTGCAGACGTGTAGTAGTGTAGTGCAGAAACGTGTAGTAATGTAGTGTAGTGCAGAAATATGTAGTAGTGTAGTGTAGTGCAGAAACATGTAGTAATGTTGTGTAGTGCAGAAACGTGTAGTAGTGTAGTGTAGTGCAGAAACGTGTAGTAATGTTGTGTAGTGCAGAAACGTGTAGTAATGTAGTGTAGTTCAGAAACATGTAGTAGTGTAGTGTAGTGCAGAAACGTGTACATAGTTATAAATAATGAGTGTGTACAGTGTAATAACAGCAAAAATAGTATGTTTTGTTGTTTTTAGAATATATGGTGTATTATTAGTGGAATATCTAGGTGTGTGTGTGCACCAAAGTTCCACACATTTTGTGATTTTGCAACTTTGACACATTTTGTGACAAAATTTAATAGATTACAGAGTCCAACAAGAAACAGTCATAAGTAGAGAACCTAAAAATCACAAAAGCCTCACCCTGAGTATAGAAGAACCAATTGGAATATCTTCATCAATGTTGTGAGCTTGGTAGTCGGGCAAGTCAAACTTGGGAGGGTTGTCATTAACATCCGTCACTTTAATCGTTAGCTGCAATAGACAAAAAATAATGCAAGTAAATATTTCACAGAAGAGAGGAGTCAAAGATTACCTTTCCTTCTAGCTATAATTAAAATAAGTTACATAAACTTATCATCGCCTAGATGAAGGCTTCTGCACAGGACACCATTATATATATTTTTATATTTGGGCATATGTTTAGAGTTAAACATCATACAGTACTCATTTATATACACTAGATATGTCTTTAAATCTCCACTGTTCAGTGAACATTCATGAGTGAATATTTTAGCACACGTTATCTACCTATCTGAGATGACAGTCTTTTCTTCATTATGCATCTAGTGTGCAAATATTTAAGACACTGAAGAACACAATAATATTTCAGCCATATTCTGTATTTATTTCTGGCACATTATTTCTCTTCTTGCTTCGTGCCTTACAAAGCCACTTGCAATATGCTCGTCTGCTCCATCTCAATCAAGTCTGACATTCCCCACACCCTTTATCATTCCCCCAGGTAACTCACTCCACTTAAAAAATTCATAAATTGGTTGAATCCCAAAATACAAACCTTCCAAATCCTAAAATATCTTGATTATTTTTGTTTAAATATACACACCTTATGCATCAAGGACTGAAGCATAACTAACATGCCGGAAGCAAGCAGAAAATGGGATTGCAAGTGAACACTAACATATCTTCTTGCTTCTAACACGGTAATATTGATAAGGTAAGGCCTTTAGAGACCCCTATCATAAGCTGAGATGATGTATGTATATTTAAAAGATATCTCCCTAACCGATCCCGCCTAATTGGCGGGATATTTATTTACCAATAGGCATTTTATGAATAATGAACACAGAACCTCCTTAAAGAGTAACTCAAAAGAAACAATACTGTACATGTTAGTGAAATTCTTTAAGCAACAAGTATGGTACAGTACTTACATCAACTGAAGTAGAGAAACCACCAGAATCTTCTGTTGCTGTGACAACCAACTGATAGATGTGTGGTTGACGAACATCCTCAAAGTCCAATTCCTTGGCCAACTTGACAATTCCTGATGTAGGCCCAATATTAAATGTTCCTGCACCCTGCCCTTTCGCTTTCAATGTGTACCGAATTTCTCGATCGGCGAAAGATTTAGCTTTAACAGAGATGATACTGAAAAAGACAAAAAAGCTGTTATCCAAACCATTATTATAATTTAATACCACAAAATGAACTAATTCAAATGAAATGAACTAATAACTGTGGTATTATAATGTAATACCACAAAATAAAGATATGAACTTAATTACTATTTAAGAGATTATTTCCTATTATCCAATAAAGGCTATTTTGCAGTATCTACTACATATTGTAAATACACAACAAAATCCCACTGAGGTGATGAGAAAATCAATTGGTGCAACACTGGGATTCAAACCAGCAGCATGAATACTGGGTAGCTGCGCACGTCATGTTGTGGTCCAGGGATAAGGTGTGCAGCCGGGAGTACCCAGGTCACTGGTTTGAATCTCCAAATTGCAACAATTGATTTTCACATACTGTATATTTAAGTAAGTTGATTTTATCCAACAATTTTGGGACTGTGACGAGTGAATGTGGTGCCTCTGACCCTTTATTGAGGAAATTCTCAGTGTTTCCATATATTGCTTTAAATGTCATGAACACACAATTGCAGTCTACACATCAGATCAAGATTCAACATGAAACTGCTCCCACAGTGTACAAGACTTGGTAGATATGGTAGATACATACCATATCTAACATTTATTCATGCCTCTAATTCTCCTTAATACATAACCTTGGAGATGGAATTATAATTCCAAATTAAAAATAAAGCTTCACAGAACACTCTTGAATGACTGGAGATGCAAGGAATCGGGGAAGATGGCTGCACCCCATGTACTGAATACATTATTATGACCACCATTTATGCTTATCTCGACATCCAGCTGGGATGTCAACTGATGCAGGTCTACAATTATAATATCTTGTTTATAGCAGAAGACTGGTTAATTGAGTTGCAATTGAAGGTTTTCTCAATATTGCCATATTAAAAACTTAATATTGAGGGTTTTCATGAATTCCTTAATGTCACCCTTCTGTGCATGGGTGACCTAACTCTTTAGTTCAGTTTTGTGATGAAAATTATTCTTTGGTCCATGGGGTTGGATCAAGGGAGCTGTGTCAAGTGCAGGAGAATGTAGCAGTCATACTGCTCTCGATTAACTGATCGTCATGTGAATATAATGGGCTGTTAACAAATAATGATAAAGATTATATGATATCATATAATCATATATTAAGAGTATAAGACCACTCTGCTGGTGGGTCAACACCTTTAAACCAATCCTTCACCATGGGACTGAAATCAAATTCTCACCAGTCTCAAAACATGACTTGACATCCAAGCACTAATTAGAATAAACCTTATAAACCACAGGATTAAAAAAAATCCAGGAAAATGCCCACGACACATTGGTCTACGTCGTCGGCTCACAACAGTGGGCTGGGTTTGATTATCATAAGTAAGTTTCCTTTCATCTGATACCGCTATTCATCTAAGCAGTAAAATAGGTACCAGGGGATAGGCAATTATTGTGGGTTGAAATGTGAGAAAAGTCAGTAGTTGGCATAGGACCTAGGTGAACCTGGTAGGGGCCTGACAGCTGAGTGGACAGCGCTTCGGATTTGTAGTCCTGAGGTTCTGGGTTCAATCCCCGGTGGAGGCAGAAACAAATGGGCAGAGTTTCTTTTAACCTGATACCCCTGTTACCTAGCAGTAAATAGGTACCTGGGAGTTAGACAGCTGCTATGGACTGCTTTCTGGGGGTGTGTAACAAAAAGGAGGCCTGGTCAAGGACTGGGCCATGGGGACGCTAAGCCCCGATAACCTCAATAAGCCTACATACAGGTTTCCTGTCCCAAACAACAGAAAACCAATTTGAATTTGTGCAAATGTACAAATTTATTGGGCAGAAATTCATACTCTGCTTTGTATAGTCTCTTCTCTATTATATCATCCTAATAGATTTATCATTTTCATTCACTCACATTCCCTTTCTCTCCTACTAATTCTTCAGTCTTCTTCAATCACAAATATGGAATAATTTTGCTCTTATTACCTAACTCTTACATGTAATTGAAAAATAAAGTTTTTTAATTTTAACTAACAGAGGGGTCCAGAATTACCACTAGCACTGTTTGAAAGCCTTTCAATTTATGAATGTCCCACTTGAGGATACAGCCTAAATGTCCATTACCTAAAAATTCTCATTCTGAAATCACATTTGTTCGTTTTCTGCTATCTCTCTCCTGCTCATTCCTACTTCCCTCGGGGTAATACTCTTTGTCCAGTTTTAAGTGTGGGGTACAGACCTGCAATTTGCTCAGGTCTGTACCCCACTCAGCAGTATCAATCAGCAGTAATAACTCACTTATGAATCTACTTTGCTCTCTACTTGCTCACCATTATAATTACTGCCCGAGATACAAGCAGCAATTTTATCTTCGGTTAGCAAATCATACCCAGGGACATCTCTGTCCTCCAGCCGCACCAATATCCATACTCAAGGTTTCACAATACTTAAGTTATCTCCAAGTCTATCCTCTCAAGTCAACACAGCGTGACAAAAATGATGTACTAAATTGAGCGAACCTAACCTAAACCACAAATAGAAAACAAGACAGCCTATCAATTTTGTGAGATGCTATCATTTATAGAACATCATATTTTGTCCATTGGGGATTTATACATCAAAATGTAATGTACTATTTGAGAAGCAAGGTTGGTTCATCAACTCCATTGTCATCCTCGCCATTACTGTCTATGGATACAGGCTCCACTGTCATCATCACCATTACTGTCTATGGATACAGGCGCCACTGTCATCATCATCATCATCATTACTGTCTACGGATACAGGCTCCATTGTCATCATCATCATTACTGTCTACAGATACAGGCTTTATTGTCATCCTCACCATTACTGTCTACGGATACAGGCGCCACTGTCATCATCATCATTACTGTCTACAGATACAGGCTTTTTTGTCATCCTCACCATTACTGTCTATGGATACAGGCTCCATTCCCATCATCACCATTACTGTCTACAGATACAGGCTGTAATGTCATCATCATCATTACTGTCTATGGATACAGGCGCAACTGTCTTCCTCACCATTACTGTCTACGGATACAGGCTTTATTGTCATCCTCACTATTACTGTCTATGGATACAGGCACCACTGTCATCATCATCATTACTGTCTATGGATACAGGCTCCACTGTCATCATCACCATTACTGTCTATGGATACTCACTCTCTCTCCCACACACACTGTCTACACACCTGTTACCAAATTTGTCTCTTGGTAATGAGCTCCGAAACTGCCAAATTATTATCTTTTTCCTCAAATAGTACTATTTCCTTTTTTTATAATAAATTTAGTCTTTTCCTACATATTTAAATATCTTTTTTTAACCTTAATTGGCATTACCTTAACATTCCTGATTTTCTCCTGACATCTTTTCTCCAAAGAAATAATAAAAAAAAAAAAAAACATTAAAATCCCAAAGTAACAAGGGACAAAAACATGACTAAAGTGAGCCTAACTTCAATAGGTCTATAATCACAACAGAAAATGTCACACTCTTATTACTAAAATTGTAGAGTATTAAGTATAAGTATTAAAGGGAAGAAAACATTCCTCCCCCCCCCCAAAAAAAAAAAAAAAAAAATTGTCCATTAGCAAATTGTTTGTGGCCGTGCTAGAGTTCTGGAGCCCACCATCACCAGCCTCAGTGGACAGTCAAATCTCAAGAATGTGATTTGTTTGAGGAAATATAATACACAGAAGGTACTGTACTGTATTTCTGTCATGATTACCTTTACACTTATTTATTCTGTAAAATTACATGTGAAGGGGGAAATAAAATTAAATAAACTTTGAAAGAAGTTTTCAAAGGAACTTGGAACCCTGGAACTTACTCTGCATCTTTGGCTGCATTTTCTGGTATAGTTTTCTCGTATTTTGGAAGATAAAACTGTGGCGGCCGCTTACCACCCACAATGGACAAACGTTCTTCAGGTGTTGACTGGAAATGCTTGTCATCAATCCTTCCATTTTGGTCTTCAGCTTTCACATACAAAACATATTCCATGTCCAACTGAAACATTTCTGATCCTCGAGTTCGTACGACACCAGATTTTTCATCAACCTCAAAACGTCCTCCAGCTGTAGAAATTGGATTTTTATGAATATCAAATATTAATTACAAGAAATCAGAGGTGCAGAAAAGCTGCTAACTTTATGATAAACATGTTCAGCAAAGCCAGAAGTATGATTATATTTCCTTAGCCCCTTTGGCTCCACAGAGCTACTTACCAAAAGACGAAAAACAAAATGGACTTACCCGGAAGGCAGTTGGCACTTGCTCCTCAATGCGAAGTCAAGGCAACTGGCTGCAACTGCCAACCCAAAGCGACAACTAGGCCCAGGACCAGTGACCAGGTAGCGTGCAGCCAGGAGCCCTGTTCGACCGCTAAAAAACCTGCACCCAAATGTCAGCCCAAGACATGTTACCGAAGACGTAGCAAGATCAGCAAACTTAAGAATGTCGTGGGCACGGGAATAGACCGCAAGCTGACTAGACCGAATAACCCTGCAGACGACCTGGCAGTCCCAAACCCTGGAACAGGGAAGAAGGGAAAGCGGATCAACCCAAAGCGCGTCCTCGGATATGGGTGCCATGGCGCACAAATAACGGCGGAGGACCGCAACCGGACACAACACATAATGCACCCCCCCAGCCTGACCATCCAAGCATCAACAACCCAAGAACCCCCTCTGGAAAGCAGTCGTTTCATTCTTAAGCAGAAAAGAAGGAGAAGGCTGCAAACGAATAAACCAGAGCCAAAAGAGCAGAAACCCCTGCGCCAGAGGCGAGCATGAAGCTCCCCGACCCAACCCCTGAAGGCCAATGCCAACAGGAAGAAGAAGAAGAAGAAGAAGAAGAAAAAAAAAAAGCCTTGGAGAGAGAATCCTGAACTGAAGGGGAACTACAAACCGAGGGAGAGAGAGATAAAAGAGCACCCTGTCCAACAACCAGGAAAGCTCAGGCAGCATCTGAGCAGGCCGGAGGTGAAACAACACCCGAGACAGCTTGCGAAATGGTGCAGAACCGGTATCATTGACAAGTGTAATACTCAAAATATTGGAAAAAATAATTAAAACTAAATGGGTAGAACACCTGGAGAGAAATGATATAATATCAGACAGACAGTATGGTTTTCGATCTGGAAGATCCTGTGTATCGAATTTACTCAGTTTCTATGATCGAGCAACAGAGATATTACAGGAAAGAGATGGTTGGGTTGACTGCATCTATCTGGACCTAAAAAAGGCTTTTGACAGAGTTCCACATAAGAGGTTGTTCTGGAAACTGGAAAATATTGGAGGGGTGACAGGTACGCTTCTAACATGGATGAAAAATTTTCTGACTGATAGAAAAATGAGGGCAGTGATCAGAGGCAATGTATCGGACTGGAGAAATGTCACAAGTGGAGTACCACAGGGTTCAGTTCTTGCACCAGTGATGTTTATTGTCTACATAAATGATCTACCAGTTGGTATACAGAATTATATGAACATGTTTGCTGATGATGCTAAGATAATAGGAAGGATAAGAAACTTAGATGATTGTCATGCCCTTCAAGATGACCTGGACAAAATAAGTATATGGAGCACCACTTGGTAAATGGAATTTAATGTTAATAAATGCCATGTTTTGGAATGTGGAATAGGAGAACATAGACCCCACACAACCTATATATTATGTGAGAAATCTTTAAAGAATTCTGATAAAGAAAGAGATCTAGGGGTGGTTCTAGATAGAAAACTATCACCTGAGGACCACAAAGAATATTGTGCGAGGAGCCTATGCCACACTTTCTAACTTCAGAATTGCTTTTAAATACATGGATGGCGATATACTAAAGAAATTGTTCACGACTTTTGTTAGGCCAAAGCTAGAATATGCAGCGGTTGTGTGGTGCCCATATCTTAAGAAGCACATCAACAAACTGGAAAAGGTGCAAAGACATGCTACTAAGTGGATCCCAGAACTGAAGGGCAAGAGCTACGAAGAGAGGTTAGAGGCATTAAATATGCCAAAACTGGAAGACAGAAGAAAAAGAGGTGATATGATCACTACATATAAAATAGTAACAGGAATTGATAAAATCGATAGGGAAGATTTCCTGAGACCTGGAACTTTAAGAACAAGAGGTCATAGATATAAACTAGCTAAACACAGATGCCGAAGAAATATAAGAAAATTCACTTTCACAAACAGAGTGGTAGACGATTGGAACAAGTTAGGTGAGAAGGTGGTGGAGGCCAAGACCGTCAGTAGTTTCTAAGCGTTATATGACAGAGTTCTGGGAAGACGGGACACCACGAGCGTAGCTCTCATCCTGTAACTACACTTAGGTAATTACACTTAGGTAATTAGAAAGTAACATTGATGCCGAAAGGAAGCTACAGCGGCTCCGCCAGCACCACACGATACGAGGCGACAGTATTTGGCATAAGATGACGGTTCTGAAAACCCACGTGAGAAAGATCAAGACCACCTTAACACATAGCAAAGTATATCTACGAAGAGAAAATGTAACGGAAGGACCGCCAGGAAACTTAATACTGCCACCGCGACGAAGTACACAGGTGGTACACCATTAACGAAGCCACCATACAGATGGTGAGAGACTCTAGCAAAAAATACCAGACATGAAGACTCGAGAAGCTCGAACAAGCCACGGACCGGAGTTTTATGAACCATTTGCTGGGTGTTTATTATTCAAGTTTCAAGCGTGAGGTTGATAGAGTCATACACCTGGTAGTGAGTATCTGGGGAGACTGCAGCTCAGCAGCTCCTTTGGGCGAAAGAATGGGAACTATCAGGAGATAGTTCAAGCCATTACGACTATATACATACCTGGAGCATACCTGGAGAGGGTTCTGAGAGTTCTTCTACTCCCTGAGCCCGACCTCAACTTGTGATAACTTGGTCCAACAGGCTGTTGCTTGGAGCAGCCCGCAGGCCCACATATTCACTACAGCCTGGTTGGTCCGGCACTTCTCGCAATAACTTATCCAAGTGCCTCTTGAATCCTTCACCTTTGTTCCAGCAATATTTATATTGCTTGCTGAGAGGGTGTTGAACATCTGTGGACCTTTAATGTTCAGACAATGCTTTCTGATTGTGCCTATGGCACCTGTACGCTTCACTGGTTCAATTATGCATTTCCTCTGGTATCTTTCGCTCCAGTATGTTATTATTCTACTGTGCAAATTTAAGACCTGGCCTGTAAGTATCTTCCATGTATATATTATTTGATACCTTTCTCATCTCCTTTCCAGAAGTACATTTTGAGAGCTTTGAGAAGGTCCCAATAATATAGATGTTTTATTGTTTTTATGCGTGCCATATATGTTCTTTGTATTCCCTCTAATTTAGAGATCTCTCCTGCTCTGAAAGAAGAAGTAAATACCGAGCAATACTCAAGACGGGACAGCACCAGTGCTTTAAATACAGTAGTACTGTATTAGCACTGCTGTGGGGGGTCTGGATTTGAACACTCTCATAATCCGTCTTTTCATTTTCCTGGCCGCCACTATATTTGCTTGGTTATGTTCACTAAATGTTAGGTCATCAGACATCATAATTGCCAGATCTTTTACATGTTGCTTTCCTTCTACAATTGTGTGTGACTTGTGGCCTGTACAGTGGTACCTCGGAATGCGAGTGTCCCTGTATGCGAGTTTTTCGGAATACGAGCAGGATTTCCTCGAAAAATATGTCTCGGAACGCGAGGGTTACCTCGGGACACGAGTTTGTTAATACGCGTACAGGCCGACCCAGCGCGTGGTGGTTCGGCGATCGTCACCCCTCCGCCCCTCAGTTTACCATTGTCTCGCACCCAGTGACTACCCCACATCAATTCTTCTCGCAGATTTTCAGTGTTTTGTTGGATTTTTGGTGATTTGACTAAACAATTTGTTATTATACAGTATATCTCACCATGGGTCCCAAGAAAGCCAGTGGTAAGGATAAAGGCCAGAAAGCCCATGTGAGGATGACAATAGAGGAGAAACAAGAGATCATTCGGAAGCATGAGAACGGTACACATGTTGTTGAACTTTGTAGGCAGTACAACAAAGCCACATCAAGAATATGCACTATACTTAAGAAGAAAAATGAGATTATGAGTGCTAAAGTGGCAAAAGGAGTCAGAACAATAACGAAACAAAGACCACAAATACTTGAAGAAGTGGAAAAGTTGTTATTAATTTGGATACACGACAAGGAGTTAAGGGGTGACAGTGTTTCGGAGGCCATTATTTGTGAGAAAGCCAGGGTTTGGACAGATTTGTGGCGAGGAAATCGAGCAGTGAGCCTCAACCAGGACCTAGTGGCACTCAGATAAAACGTCCCAGGGAGAGCACACCAGAAAGGTCTTCACTGCCTGATGTGATAATGGAAGGGGACTCCCCTTCCAAACAGTAACTCCTCTCCTCCTCCCCCCTCCTCACCATCTTCCATACGCCTACAGCATTCAACAGCAAGTTAAGTAATAACTTGAACATAGTTTTGTAGGTATATTTAGATGAATTAGGTATAAAAATTTAGTTTGATGTGGGGTTTTTGGGGTAGTCAGGAACGGATTAATTCATTTCCCTTTATTTCTTATGGAGAAATTAGCTTCGGAATACGAGTTTTCGGAATACGAGGCGTCTCCAGGAACCAATTAAACTCTTAAACTGAGGTATGCCTGTACCCTATGTTTTGTTTAACTTCCACATTTCCACCATACCTAAGTACCTGGAACTTGTCACAGTTTTAAACATCATGTTTTTTCAGTTGCCCAATCTAAGATTTTATTAATATCTGCCTGCAGCTTTTCGGTGTCTTCTACAGAGGAAATTTTCATGCCGATTTTTGTATCATCTGCAAAGGATGACACAAAGCTGTGACTAGTCTTTTTGTCTATATCCGAGATACGAATGAGAAATAGCAGCGGCTCAAAGGACTGTGCCCTGGGGTACAGAACCTTTCACTGCACTTGGGCTTGATCTTATTTGATTGACACCATCACTCTTCATTATGTTTTACAAAGTTGAAAATACAATGCCCCATTTTACCCGTTATTCCTATTGATCTCATTTTATGGGCT